GTCATGTTCGATACAGATCAAAAGCATAAAGAGTACAATATAAGCCTTACTACATTATTTCATATCTACAGGACTATATCCGTAATCCCTCATCCAAAATATCACATCTATGCTCGAGCGCCACTACCTGTAATCCATGAAACCGAGTGGGTCAGGCTTAACAACCTGGTGAGCATATAGGGTTTTCAACACACAATACATAAGTTATTTAATTTTATCAACCAACAATAACCCGATTACATGTTCCCATTATCCTCACTTTACGTCCCTAAACACCTATCATAATGGACCTAGCCTAAGGATCATCATCGGGAAGGATACTACTGCTAAGAGGATTCCTCAGTAATGAATGTCCTTAAGGCAACCATGTGGGGGATGGAGTACACCGGTGAACACATCGTTCACAAACACCTATTAGTTGCGAGCTTGCAAGCGTTCCACTGGACTGACTAGAAGAGTCTGTGGTCGTCATCCATACTCCGCTAGATGACAGAATCAACAACAACAACAACATCGAGGCCTCTCATCATTTTATCACACAATGTCTATTACATCTACCCATGTTTTACCCCAACATTTATGTAGATATAAAATACATAAACAGTTTAAATCATTTAAAACATATATAAAAATCGTTCATCAGCATAGACAGCAAGTATTCAGACAATATGCACACATAGCACGTAGCTTATATTAAATACTTCATATCTATGTGTAAGATAAAAGTAACTATGCACTCACGTGATAAGGTGCTGACTCAGTACTCGGATAATGCTTCATTATCTCAAAACAATTTTCCCTTGACAAAACCTAGTATCAATACCACTAGGGTTTAGGCTAACGTTAACTACGACTACATAATAGTCTAGCTATTATTACTATTATATAAGCGTTAAGAAACAATATTACATAACTCTTAATAATAGCCCAAATAAATATTTTAAGGTCCTAATAATGTTACTATAATTAATTAGAAGCTATATTAAAAATAGCGTAGGCGTAGCTCACTTACAGCGGGTTTTCTAGGAAACCGGGCATCGCTGGAGCAGTGTTCCCGAGCGGAAAAGCTCTTTTTCTTGGAGCCTTCTGGCACTCAGGGACTCGCCTATAGCACTTGGAAGTTGCTAGGGATTAGGGAGGAGAGGTTTGGAGTATTGAGAGAGAAAGAAGGGTGAAGGTGTGAGTTTTGGGAGTGATTTACACCTCTATTTATAGGTTGAGTTTGGTGCGAACGCAGCGCATTTGCGAACATGGCGTGTTCCCTAGACAAACACAGCACATTCAATGCCACATTTCACCATCTTGTTCCAAGCCGTGGGGAAGAAGGTGTGGCCCAAATTGTGCCACGTGTCACTCGCAGATTACCCGAAAAACTAATTATCTTCTAAAATCTGTAACTTTCGCATACGAGCTCCGTTTTCGACGTTCTTTATATCCACGCGTATGCAGGAACGTACTCTAAAACGTTCGTTTAGACTCCATTGGCTCATTTTGACTGTATTTTAAAATTTATTTTATTAACAGGCCAGGATAGGATTGGTCCGTTAAAAATTCATAACTTCTTCATCCGAAGTCTGTTTTCGTCTATCTTTTTATCGTTACGCTACTATTAATGATATCTTAGATTCTTGTTTAGGTTGTGTCGGCTAAAAATCGCTCGATCCAATATTCGAACTTCAGGTTGTGTACTGCTAAGCCGAAACTTCGAAAAATCATAACTTCCTCATACGAAGTCAGATTTGAGCGTTCTTTTTATGGATGCTCTCGGTTTAACATATTCTGACTTTCTTTTAGATCGCTAAGGCTAAAGGTTGTTCTATCGTAAATTTACTATTTATGCTTCCCGGTGTCGTGTCGGTTCCGTCGCGAAACTTTGACGGGTCATAACTTCTTCGTTATAACTCGGATTTCGGCATTCTTTATATCCCCATAATTCTTGTTTCGAACACTACAACTTTATGTAAAGATATCGTGTTTATCTCACACTTTAATTTCGACGCTTATTTTTATCCTTTATTTATTATACATTTATAAATAAGTAATAAGCACATAATGCACATAATTCACATAATACTCAAATAATTCATCTTTATTACTTCAAAAAGAGTTACAATAGTTTACCTAGACTTATTACATCATCTACTACTGCTTATCCCTCAAACACAGACATTACAGCTAGGTTCCAACCTAATCCTCGAGAACCTCACATGACGGCAGTCAAGAACATTTTTAGGTATCGAAAGCGAACATCCTCTCTTGGAATCTGGTACCCTTCGCATTCTGGGTTCTTGATGGCAAACTTGTCAGTTGGCAATCCAAGAAGCAAACCTATGTATCCCAGGTTATTTGGATTCAAATCCAGTTTCATAATTATGGCTTGAGTATGAAATGAATCCTGTTATAATTTAACTCTAAAAGTTTTATTGGCATTTGTCACAACCCAGTGCAATACTCAAAGACGAAACATATACCACTAAGCTATCACTTCATTTAGGATCATGTATAAGATAGCAACTTTGAAATTCACTTCGTGAGATCCGTTGATCAGTTAGCTGACATAATCACGAAAGCCTTACTTGAGACCACCTTCAATAGAATTCTTCAAGGCCTAGGAATGATGGATGTTGAATTTGTACCAAAACCACTTTCACAACAATAAAGTTAACACTGCGAATCGGTGTGAACGCTCGCAGTAGTTCGCAGTCAACTGTTCATTTACAGTCCACTTCATCACTGCGAACCGGTGCGAACGCTCGTAGTAGTTCGCAGTCTACTTTAAAACTGCGAACTGGTGTGAACGCTTGCAGTAGTTCGCAGTCTACTATTCATTTGTGGTTCGGATTTTCCAATATCTTTTTGTACTTTATGTATAATGTTTCTTATCTTTGTTTCGTTTTTCACACTTTTCTATTTTTAATTCTTTTTCAGAAAACTTCAAAAATTCAAAAATAATTTGTTTATTTCTTTTTGTATTTTATTTTTTCCGAAAATTCCTGAATTACACAAATATTTTTTTGTTTTTTTTATTCGTTTCTTTTATTTTATTTTATTTTCTCAAATATTGAAAATCCAAAAATATTGTTCTTCTTTTGTTAATTAACCATTTGTGCAGGGTTCAAGGATAAATTTTTAACACGAATGATGGGGCAGGTATAAATCTCTTTATTTATGAACTAGCTAAGTGTCCCTAGAAGCATATTGTTGCATGTTGTCTAAAGCCTTGACGACCTTATGTTGAAGCCTTAATGAATCGATAATACCAATCGTTTCTTCGCAATCAAACTGTAATTTCACATATGTCTTGAGCTACCTTACTCTTCTTATAATGAGTCAAGAGTTGTACGCTTGGTCACTTTCTCATAGCAAAGGTACTTTCGTTTCCTTACACCATCTTACACTATTCTCCATCGCGTTCGCTTTCATAAAAGTAACCCTTGAGACTCTCAGCAATTACCACTGAGGTTTATGATTGCAAAACATTTATGTTAATGCTCTTAGTTTCATTCCACCACGAACTTAGTGAAACCTAAAATTCAACACACTTAAATGAATTGATGGTGAACAATTAAGCGTTCAATATTTTCACCAACGAATTAACGAATGCCACATTCGTGGTCTGTACCCAAAAATTTCTTTTTACTTTGCGAGATCTTTATGAAGTGCTCTTGTCCTAAGAAATTTCTTCCCAAAAGTTCCAGATTTATATTTTTCTGATATTTCTACAACTTTCCTTGTCACTAATATCTTTCTCAACCTACTCATTTAACTAACTACACTGGTCACACGAGTACTTCATTAGAACGTTCGTACTTATATCAAGTTTTGCAGTTTGGTTGAAGATAAAGCCATCCATTTTGCCTAAATAAAAGACACCTTTCAATGTTTTTTAAAAAACCATTTATCGTATTTCAACGGGAAACCACACAGACACTTCTTAGTCTCTCTTGACTTTGAAGGAAGAGATCTATGCCTAGGATCCACCTTTTCGTGTCTAATTAGAACTCACTAAAATCCCTTAGAATTTATTGTTTTATTTCTATTTGTTTGGCACACTCTTGCATGAAGATTCTAGTGATCTTCCCCAAAGTATGGTTCGTGGTTTTCATGGTTCATCTTAGTTTCGCAAGGTTCTCATTAACATCTAATTACAAATGGATATGGTTCACTACGAATGCCTTATCTATGCCATAATTGTGAAAGGGCAACGCTGACGCATCAATTTCCTGAGGATAAGAGTTCAAAAGGGCGCGTGAAATTTTGAAAGGACGTCTACTTTTTCGCCATATGACGTATGTTTCTGACATGAACAGTTCTCAAATTGCGCTTTTTGAGGCAACGTTTCAGTACTCAATGATATCTCTCTCCAGATTTTTCTCAACAATCAAATGGTATAAAAGGTTGTAGGCATATCATTTCACCTTACCACTCACATAATTCTCTCAAAGATTTACGTTGATTCATTGTCTCTCTACTGTTCATCATCTTTTTTCTCAAGAACTCAACAATGTTGGGCTCTTCTGAAATTCCATATGTTCAAGAGCACACAGGGCAATCTCAACTTCTCACTATCAAGCCTCAACAAAACCTGATCATCGATGTTGATCCGTGCAAATATGAAAGCCACCTGCTTATGATCATTGAGTGCTTGAAGTATTCTCCACTTATCATATCCCTAACCAAGACGGAGAGCGTTCTGATGTCAATGCTATCAAAAGCATACTCTTCTGCATGTTATATCAAAGAGGAACAAGTTATATCAAAGAGGAACAAAGGATTACATTCGAGATCCTCAATCACAAAACACCCATCTCCAAATCATGATTCTGCTCTATTCTAGGGCTTCCTCTATCAGACAACATGATTAACCCAGAATATGTGTCCAACGGGACCCTTTTGAAGATTTTTTACCAACTGGCCTATAATAAACCCTAACCGCTGTCTCTAAGTTCCGAAAACCAAATCTTCCACCACAGTGGAATGGCCTCTTCACTCTACTGTTCATGGCATTCTCTGAAAGGGTTACTGGGTCTGATTGCGCCAGTAAGTTGTTCATGGCGATCATCTATGGGATTTACACTGGTTTGAACATCGACTATGGTGTTGTTCTCTAGGCCCAATTGATTCAAAGCACCTTATCCACCACTCATCACAGGAAAATCTCTTTTGTACGATTTTGGTCCATTATTTTTACCAAAGGGCCATCACCAAGTTGAAGCTTCGTGTTATGCAAGATGCCTTAATGTCCAACATTTCAACCCTTCACACCACTGGAATCATTGTTGCATACATTTCCAAATTTGCTTTTGTTGGCCCCATCCATGAAGCCATGCTTCGTCATGTGCCTCCTACCAGCAAAGTCCTTGACGGATATCGTATTATTCCCACCTCAAGGTTTTGTCCCTTAACTCCTGGTATGCAGTTGATTATTGTTGAGGTGGATAAACCAAAAATAGGGGTAACAAAGGGCGCAATAAGAGAGAAACGAAAAAGGGTGATAACGAAGGTCTATCTAAGCTTGCGAACAGTCCCAAAAAGAAAAAGGCGAAAGCTGCTCCATCTGCAACTGTACCTAAAAAGCGAAAGAGCGTTGCTCGCAAGATCAAGTCCCCTACTCCATCTGAAATCGAACATTCACACTCGAACACATAGTTAAACATTCACAATGATGAAGAACATTACATTTGCATTGAGGAAGATCAGCATGTTCGTAACGAGGAGGACCCACCCTTTCACAACGAGGAAGAAGAACCTGTTCACAACGAATTTGTTCCATCTCCTCCTCCTTCACCTAAAAATATAACCACTTCCACCCCAATTAATATTGCACTATGCCCTCCACCAGTTTCATTTCAACCCTAGAGTACTATTTATCACTCTACTCCTCTATTTACAGAGTCAACCACCACACCCAAAACATCAGTTGAACCTCATGTTTCAGTCAAAGCATCTGATGCGGGGGCTGAACCTTTAGGTTTCACAACAAGTTACAATACACCACCCATTTCTCCTCTTTTCCAAAAATGATCCGAACATGATATACGGTGATGGTGAAGAAGACTTAGCATGTTACACCTACAGCTCGTTCAACGTCAGGGATGACAATGATGATGAGGCTCTGATTACTCAACGCCAATTCAAAGTTCTTATTGAGAAGCTCGACTCGTTGATAAGCTCTTCTCGTGATTTTTCTTATGAAGCTTGCTCTAAGGCTGCCGTTGAAGCTTTCTTTCACTCACTTATTAAAGAACATCAGGCCAATTTGGATAAGGCCAATCAAGTTGTTTCAAATTCTCCGGCTTTATGTGGTGCAATGGCTACCAAAATGGAAGCGCTTATTTCTGATGCTAAGAAGTTTATAACCAAGTTCCAATCATCTGCTGGGTCTAACACGCTTATGGCTAATGAGGCTATAGTTGGTCTCAATACCATCTTACAAAGGGAGAAGGAGGCTCTAGCTCAAGCTCACACTGAGTTGCAAAATGAGAATGATAACTTCAAAGCTTCTATTTCTGCGAAAATAACAAAGCTTTCAGAATGTCTTGCAGCTAAAAATAATCTTATGGATCAACTTGCTGCTCACAACACAACTATCAAGGTTCATAAAGCCAAACTTAATCAAACCACCAAAGAGATTAAAGGTCTTCAGTCCGAGCGAGCTGTGGTCAAAAGTTGTGTTGGGTATGTGCATGCTCTCCTCTCCAATATCCTTGATTCTCATGATCCAATACTCATTATTTCAATTCGCAGGCATCTAGTTGACAAGTTTCGTCCTGCCATTGCTATGCTAAGTAGGATTGAGGGCGTTTCGAAGACTCATGTCATTCTGAAATAATGGGAGATCTACTAAAGAAGTCTTTAGCCATGCCAACTACTTCAGTCAAACCAATTCTTTCAGTAATGCCAAAGGTTAAAAGCGAATCCGAGCCCAAAGGAAAGGTGAATATTTTCTCAGATAATCCAATCATTGATAATAATGAAGCCAAGGAGCCAGATGAAGAAGAACTCAAAAGGAGAAAGGCTCGTGAGGCTGAGATAGATGGACATTAGAGAATTGCTCGTGAGGCCGAACAAAAAGAGAAAGAAGAGAACGAAGCTCAGGTCACACTTGAAAGCAGGAATATCCTATTTGTTGAGTGGATGCTTAAACAAATTCAAAATGAAGTTGTATACTTGCCAAGTCAATATTGGCTAGAACCAGTTGTGTTGGTCGAGCTTCAGAAGACACAAGATTCGCAACTGGAACTTCAAATAACTCCTAAGGCCTTCAAGTTTCGTTCTTTTGTAAAGGTTGCGAACACCCCATATATTGACAGTGGAGCTGATCATCTCCTCTTCTTCTTCTATCTCAAGCACATGAAGCCATAGTACGAAACAGGGAGTGCGAGCAAGATCGTTGTAGTGAAAATCACATCTCCCATCAAAACTTATGTATTCCCAAATGTGAAGTTCAAAGTTGCGACAGGTTCTGCAAGTCAGGTTCATGAATTCACTCTCAATAACCTGCCTTGCCTCAACCACTATGACTGGATTATGCTTTAATCTACTGCAGAGGGATGGACAGAAGTACGAGCCTATCATTGCCCATCTCAAACTGATGATAACTTCCTACATTCAAGAGATAGGTAATATGGATGTGGAGGTAGATTTTGTACTATGGAGGAAGGCCTCAGTTATTCCTAAAGAGTCTCTAGAAGGTTTTGAGAAGTTGAAGATAGGAAATATTTACAAAGAAGGATGGTATGTGGTATTTCAGGTTAGAGAATGAAGTAATGCAAACTTTCGCAAGACCTATTTCTACATTCCGGATAAACATTTATTCAGTACTTCCTATCTTGAGTTCATTTTGGATCTGGTCACCAAATTCAAAGGCAATAGCAAAGGAGATGTAAAATGCTTCTCATACATGATCCTATGGTACATCCAGGTTCGCAAGGCTTTGTTGAATTTCATGTTGGATAAGGTGTCTAAGTCCATAACTTATTTGGTATATACTTGACCCGACCGGCATGGTCCATTTGGGTTGCATCTCATCCAAACTATTATGGATAATTTTATGAGAGTTATACACATATGTTTATTAATATATTATGAGTTATAATATATTAATATGAAGTTACGTTATTTAATTAGTTTTAGTCTTAAATTAATTATGAATTAATTTAGAGATTAAAAGGAAGACTAATTAGATTATGGGCTATTTGTTTTATATAGTGTGGGCTAATACTCATTAGTTAATGGGCTAGGCTTATGTGGAAGTCCATGGATGATCCATGGAGCTTTTAACCCATGGATCCTTGGAAAGGAAAAGACATGGGTTATTAGGGTTTCACCCTAACCATGCACACTATATAAGCATGCTTATGGAGCATGAAATGGTGCCTAAGAGGAAACTAGTGAACTAGTGTGTGTGTGCGTGTGCTTGTGTGTGGCCGATTTTATACAAGTGTGTATACTCTCTCAAAGTTTTCCAAGAGTTTTTGGTGTTTTGTGATTCCATTTGAGGCATTCACACTATTGGTGCTTGGCCATCAAACTCCTTAGAACCAAACTCACCAAAAGGTATGTAATCTCTTCTAACTCTTTTATGTTGAAATGTTCCCCATGCCATGTTAGATAGGTTATAAACCTTGGAAAATTATTATTTTGCATGTATTTAGACAAACATAGATCCAAGGTTTATTAGGGTTTCATGCACACTTAGGAAGTGTTAAATTGCTCAAAACCCAACAGTGGTATCAGAGCCTAGGCTTGCTTGTTTGATACTTGATGCAAAATAGTGAAAAAAGTCGAAATCATTGTTGTCTGCATGGTGGACTCGCCGAGTCCATTGGGGGGACTCGACGAGTCCAAGGCAAACTTCAACCTACTCGACGAGTAAGTTCATGCACTCGACGAGTAGGATCGAAAAGTGCAGTTTTTCGACTTTTGCTGCTGGAAATGGACTAGAAACATTACCCTAAACTGTTTTGGTGTTATAAAACTTATTTTAGTTGGTGTAATGGTTGTTCTAATCCATTTACAATAGCATATATCAAAATTCCATGATTTTATGTGTTCATATAATTCTTGAATTTTTGATGATCATGTTCATGTTCTTATGAATTTAGAAAATGATAGGAATTATTTGCTGAATTGTTTAGAATTAATTCTTGATCATTTATGTGTTTTAATGGAGTCCATAATTTGTCCTCAAGTTATGGATTTCCAAAGGTCACTTTATTTAACACACACTTAAAACACATAAGTTACATGAAAATGAAGAGTCTTCATTTTTATGAACCTTTAATTCATAAGTTATGAAATGAAGAGTTTTGCAAAGTTACAAAACTTGCCCTCAAGTTTTGGAATTTGTAAAGTTTCACACACTTTAATAAACTTTAATTCCAACCCTTAGAGTTTTAATAGTTAAAATTCAACCCTTATACTATTTATAACATTAATGGTTAATTATTATATATATGTATAAGAATAAGTCGTTTTACCGTTAGTAGGCCTCATTCACGAAGCCGGTCTATAAGGTGGGTATAAGGTTGTTGCCTATAAAATGGCGACTTAATGGGTGTATACTCTCACCCACCGCTTGCTTGATCGGTGGAGGGTCGTTAGCCGAACGGGTAGAACAATGACTTTAAATCCTCATTAAAAGTATAATGAATATTATAAAGTAACTAAACTCTTTTAATTCCCAATCTTAGTTATTTTAGGAAAAATGTGAACATGGTGCTAGTCCATGGAATTCACACTTTGTACCTTACCAAGTCGTTGGTGGAGCGTGTGTGGTTAACCGCACACTAACTAGGACTAGTAAGGATCACGAAGGGTGACTTAATGTTTGTCATAGATCAATGGAGCGTGTGTGGTTAACCGGCACATTGATTAGGTGATAATATTAAGGGTACCAAGTGAATTAGCATGGTTATTCACACCTTGTTTTGTGATCCTCGGCATCCCAGTCACAAAACTTGAAGGGCACAATCGAGATTGAAACATGCCATTGAAAAGTTCAATGAATCTCAAAAGAATCTAGGAATTTCAAATCCAATTAAACCTAATAAATCATTTCGTTTTCATGGTGGAAATTGGTGAATCGTCATTCACCTACCTTTCAAATATATTATTACTTAGATTACGGCATCCCTCTTCTAAGTGTAATATATTGTGATTGGATCCTAGCCTTAATATTACATTTGGGTGTCTTATTAAGGATCCTAAATATCTAATCTAAACTTACTCTCTTCTTTCAGATGTCTTCCAACACTAATGCTTCAGGCTCTAACCCAACTGGTTCTTTCTCTCTCATGAATCTTTGTGGGAGGGTCATCTTTGATGGTTCCAACTTCATGGATTGGATTAGGAACATCAGGATGGTTACTCGTTATGAGGACAAGGAATATGTCCTCGATAAGGAGTTAAAAGAACTTGATGAGTCTACTGCTACTCCTGAGGAGATCGCTGAATTCAGGACTCATGAGAGAGATGCTACTAAGGTGGCATGTATCATGATGGCCACGATGACAGCCGAGCTCCAAAAGTCATATGAAGATTTCTACCCTTTTGAGATGCACCAAGACCTGATGGAAAGGTACCATCAGAGTGCTCGTCAGGAGCGGTATGAAATAATCTCCTCCATAATAACTACCCGCATGAAGGACGGTGAATCCGTCACGGGCCACATGCAAAAGATGCAAAGGTATGTGGACCGTTTGCTGAAGCTGAATGTTAACATCCCTGAGGAGTTGGCAATTGACATCATTTTGCACTCCTTGCCTTCTTGTTATGATCATTTTCGAATGACATATCATATGAACAAGGAGGAAGTTACCCTCAGCAAGCTTCAAGGACTCTTGAAGACCGCGGAATCCGGTCTTAAGGGTAAAGCGGTTGTTACCTCTACTACTCCTACTCCAACATCTACCCCTGTTTTAGCTATTGGGCAAGGCAAAGGGAAGAAGAGGAAGCACCCTTCGAAGGGTACCAAGGGAAAGTCTCTTGAAGGCTCCTCATCAAAGACCAAGAGCGGTTCTGCACTCCTTCTGCCATTCCCAAGGATGCTGAATGCTTTTATTGCCATGAAAAGGCACACTGGAAGCGAAACTGCCCTAAGTACTTGCAGGATCTAAAGGATGGGAAAGTGAAACCCACCCATGCAGGTATTTACACTATATTGTCTAATTACTCAACATATTCTAACTCTTGGGTGCTTGATACAGGATGTGGTATTCACATATGTTCTGATTTGCAGGGCCTAAGAAGAAGTGAGGATGTGGAGCACGGGAAGATAAACTTAATCATGGGGAATAGGAAGGCTTCACCTGTTTCCAAGATTGGAGTTTATACTTTGTTGCTTAATAATGGGTTAAAATTAGATTTGAATAAATGTGTGTACTCGTCTGAAATGGCGAGGAATATTATTTCTTTTCATGCTTTGTACAAACAAGGTTTTACCTTTTCGTTTGATAATGAATGTGGTGGTATTAATGCTTTCTTTAATAATGTGTTTTATTTTAAAGCATTACCTTGTGATGGTGTGTATGAAACTGTGTCGATTGTAGACAACTTAGGAAATAATGTGTTGTATATTGATTCTTCTACTAGCCTAGATAAAGCATCATTGTGGCATTGTCGTCTTGGACATGTAAACAAGAAACGCATAGGCCAACTCCAAAAGAGTGGAGTCTTGGAATCATTTGACCTTAAATCGGATGATAATTGTGAATCTTGTCTACTTGGAAAGATGACAAAATCACCCTTCACTGGAACTTGTGAGAGGGGTGAGGGTTTGTTGGACCTAATACATACTGATGTATGTGGGCCATTCAAAACCGCCACAAGGGATGCTAATCGGTATTATGTGACTTTTATTGATGATTTTAGTAGATATGGGTATGTCTACTTAATCAAACATAAGTCAGAAACCTTTGAAAGGTTTAAGGAATTCAAACAGGAAGTAGAAAATCAATTGGGCAGGAACATTAAGATGCTTCGATCCGATCGAGGTGGTGAGTATCTTAGTACCGAGTTCCTTGACTATCTTAAGGAGTGTGGGA